AAGCGAGGCCCTTTTTGGGCAGAGGGGTATAATATGACTTACTATGTGGCTTATGAAATGTAATTCCAATACACATACTCAGTTTAGAAGATCACATTGGCAGCTGCCAAACCCAATTTTAATATGATCATTGCTCATACATTTAAAGTAGCAGTAAACCTAAAAGTTTCCTAGCAAAGGATTATTAGTGCCGCTCCCGAACACGTACGTCAACATGTCTTAGCTGTATAAACGTGCAAAAGGTTTTTAATGTATTGGTGTTTGCGGTTTTGTGCTATGGGCTTGAGCCTCCATTCACACTTGTGCGGCTGTGTATGCGCGCTTTTGTGCAACGTGTATGGAGCAGCCCATTGACAACATTGGGTTGTCCTACCACAGGTGCGATTTCATGCATGTGAAAGCCCATGGTGCAGCAAAGAGCACTGGGGAGTCAATAACAATGAATAGCACCACGACGCGTCGTACAAAGTGACGCGTGTTTCCATGCACATGCTGCCACAGTGCACAGATGTAAAAGGGGGCATAAGGCAAACTCTGGCCAAAGCTTTTTATTACGTTCTGGATACAAAAGGGAAGAGGTAAAGCCCCTGTCAGGTTTAACAAGTCTTTACCTTTCTGTTTCTGCCCCCCCCTATTCTTGTACTGGGACAGGAAATGAGGCAACATCTCCCCAATTGGGTCACAGGCAGAAAAAGAAAATCTGACATCATTGTTAACTCTTTGACATTCTATAATTTAAAAATAATCTGAAAATAGGCTTTGAAATGAATCCAAACAAGAAATCAAGGTAACAATGTAATATATTGCAGCTTTAGGTGTGTTGGCTACATTAGTATCTGTTTATGCTTTTTCTCTTTTATTTTCACCGGGTGATCCTGCCAGTAACACACTTCCTGTCCTAGGTTGTCAATGCTCAGGCAATGTATTCTCAATCACTTCCTGATTTGGTCTTTAGAACACACCATCTTCTCAGCTTCATAACCTAAGGGAGAAGTATTCTGTAGTTCACAGAGACGAACAGGACAGGGCATATAATACTGTTTTCTGATTTCAGTGCAGCACATTTAGAATGCAGGGGGAGTTATACGCTCACTATGGATTTCCGGCAGGGTCACCAGCTATTCTTTCACTTGAAAGCTGCAGAGTTAAATGCTTGAAATCATATCAACATGTGAAAACCTTCATGAGATTCTAGTGATTGAGTTTAGATCTACTGTTAATGAAAGGTGGTTTATCAAAGGCCGCCTGCATCACTCTTCAGTGTGTAGGGAAATGCCTTCACATTACAATTATTGTAAGTTCTGAAAAAAAAAAAACCTAAACAAAAACCCCTGTATATCATGGAATGTTACTAACCACAACTCTTTTCTAATAAAGAAAATATCCTTTTAGGTTTACTGCTGTTTTAAAAGCAAATTATAGTGAAGAAGTATGGAGGCTGCCAAGGCTGACTTTTTAGTACTGTTTGGGCCTCATTCACATGGGCGCAGAGGTCTGTAAAGCATAAAAGAAGCAATTATGCGGCTAGGAGGCACCCAGGATTCACAGGTGTTGCATACAAATTAATGACAGGCTATATGCTAGTAAATGCAGATCCTAGCGTTTGTATAGGTACGCATGTATGCCTCTGGACACAGACAGTCTGCATCAAGGGCCATGCATGTGTGCCTGGACACATGTTCGCGTTGGGCCATCAAGCCACAACCAGGCCCATACAAATGCCGCCTTCACACTGTACAGACATCTGTAATGAAGCCTCGCGTGAATGATATACAACAAGTGTGCACATTAGAAGTTCTGGCTTCACTCAGACTTTCTAATCTGCATGGCAGCCAATACATTACTCTACACAGTTTTCCTTCAAGTAGTCTTCAAAATGAATATTTTAAATGACTCATGACCAGCATAAGACCCCAAAAACACGAAATATGCAGTCATTGCATACATGTTTCATATCAATTCAACAATACAGTTCCATCATTAAGCCATAAACCAAAATATACACAGAAAATAAGGATGCCGTATTTTCAGCTTACACACAAAAAAATAGCTTTTTTTTTTTTTTCTTTTGCAAATTAAACTTGCTTCACAGCTATGAGATTTAAAATGACATCACAAAAAGTACAAATTGAGTCTGAAAACACTAAAAACACATTTGTTTTGTTTTTGTTTTTTACAAAAGTAAAAGCTGTACAAACAGTTATTGTTAAAAATGCAGTAGTTAAGAAAGATAAAAGGCTTTTGTGAATGGTGTGAATGGGGACGACTGGCTAATAAGGTGAAAAGCAATGTGTAACGTACATGAGCAAATACTAACCACGCAGAATTGCAGCTCTTGATTCATGAATGCTGATTGGTGGCTTTGGGTTTGCACATTATCACTGCTCTTGCGATGGCCTCATTAGCAGGAGTAGAGTTTTGTTGTTAGCCATCAAGTTGTGCCGAAAGTTTTGAGTTTAAGAGATACTCTTTATTGCTAAATTAGGTTATTGAAGATGCAAGCTTTCGGCACTCGTCCCTTCGTCGGGCTTTAAACAATTTAAAGCACTCGGGCTTTAAACAAAGGGACCTAAGGAATCCTGAAAGCTTGCATCTTTAATAACCTAAATTAGCCATTGTCACCTAAACTCCAAACTTTTGCATATGGCCTCATTAGTTAAGCTGGTAGGGGTACATTGCGTACATTGCGACTTCCATCTACAATAATTTTAGGCAGATGTAAGACAGGATCTGCACCGAAGGTACAGTTCAGGAGTAGCAGTTCCAATGTGTATGTAATTGCAGGTTAGATGTAATTTTTCATTAAAATAAGAAGCAATGACAAAAGCACAATGGCAGGTATATGTATAGGCAAGATTGTGAATGTCATCATTGTACCGTAACCATGTACAAAGCTTTTATCCATGAACCATCAACGGCATTGAATATCAAATGTTTATACAGGGACGGTGGCATATTACTATCTGGGTCGTTTGTCTCCATCACAGGATGGAGGCTGAACTGAGCTGGGCTTTGATGTGCAGCTACTTCTGTTACGGATTCAAGTGATTTCTCCATATAATCTTATAAAAAGATCCAATAAAGGGCATGGAAATATTTACATAATTCACTTCTGAAGGACTGCCAACAGGAATATATGGAGAACTCACAGGCTGGTGATAAGGGTAGCTTGATGAAGAAGATGGGGCAAGTTGGATTTTTCCCTGCCATGGTCCTGGGCATTCATAAAGAACCACTAGATGGTGGAACCCTGGATAAAAACTGCTCAATCAAAGGAGTGGAAACTTGGTTTTTTTTTTGTGCAAAATTAGCCAAAGATTTTTTGGTTGATGTGCCAAAAAGAATTGTGTGGCCCTAGGAACCTGTGTGGGGGTGCATACATACGTTAGGAAAGAATGTCACAGAGTGGTGATATGATTATTGACCATTTGAAACCTGGTGGACTTTACTTGGGCTCTTAGGCCAGGTAATACCAACGAGCCCAATATCAAATATTGAAAAATATTCCAATAGAGCTTCAACATTCTTAATGAGGAGCACAGACTGTTAATTACACTGTACCAATGAATTTTCATCCATGTTGTTTCTGATATTGTCCTTGAGGTACAATACCGAATAACCAGTTCATATGTAGGCATAAGCAGATTGTAACTCTAGCAATTTCAATGTGTAGACTCCGACAAATCTGCTTATCCCTTTACTGCCCTTTTTCGTCTCATAGATGTTATTAAACAGGTAGCTATCAAATCAAACTACCAAACCCTGTAAAATCAGGTCACCTAAAAAGTTTTAAAGGACCTTGTCAAACAATGTAAAGATCCACAATATTTGTATACTCTACATTGAAATAGAGGAACTACGAAAAGGCATTCTGGTGCAGGTTGATTAGAGAAGTTTGCCATTACAATTAATACAAACAAATCAGGGAAGTGTTTTTATATTCTTTTACGTGTTTTTTTTTTTTTTAGACACACATGATCAGCTTAATGCAAAAAATCTGACTCATGTGGCTCAGAAAATGGTTTGTAATTATATTCGCATAATGGCAATCATATCTGTTTGTTACAGATGCATGCTGTGCTTCCTGATTAGTAATGCTGTACAGTGATTGTATAAATCAGTCCACCTCGTTGTTATCAGAATGAGGACATTACAAAGAGGAGTCCATGTATGTAGGTATTTTTTTACATGGCACCCCAACATCAGGTTCCAAAATATTCTTAAAGGAGAATTCCGATAAGTATTGAAAAAAAAGGACATGTGTGAGAAGCAAAGTGCTACATACAAAGTGTAGCACACACAGCATTAGCAACCAATCAAACTAGTACCATCTGGTACTAGTGTGGGTGTAAACATTTAGATTGGCTGCTATGGGCTACAACACTTTGCACTAAGTGCTTTGCTGTATACTGAACAAGACTGTTGGTGTTTAGCTCATGAAATGGAGGAGGCTGTATCTATGCAGAATGGCAGTGAGTAGGGCTTATATTGGTCATACACTGGTTGAATTTTGTCTGAGTCTTGGTGACTTGGCACAATCCGACCAGTGTGTGGCCCTGTCAGCACCAAATTCAATTTTTCAATTGACTATTGTCCAAGGAGCAGGTTTGAAAATTCTTGACCGAGCAGTAACTGCAGCCAATCAGGATGACTTTGACAGGTGGGCAAATACTGGACTCCAATGCAAAGTCCAGTCTGTGCCCATAATATTGGTTTCTTGTGTCTTGCAGGGAGTCCAATGCTGGAGTCCCTGCAAGACACAAGAAACCAATATTTTGTTCAGATTGCAGGCATTTACAGAAAATGGTATATTATCTTTGGGCGGTCCAACCTTTTTTGCATCATCTGTTAAACATCCAAGATGTTGGAACAGGAATCCAATCCTCCTAATCATTTTACTCCTGCCCTTTACCCCCAACATAACCTTTTAGTAAAATTACATATATCATTTCTCATTGATAAAGACACTGCAGCCAAATGGTAAATATGACACAATGGACAATGCATGATGAACAGTTTATACAACTTAGACCCCATGACATGCAAAGTCAGCCAAGGTCAATATTGTTCCATAAGTTCTTCTTGCTCTACTTTGCATAAGTGTCCCCAGTTTCACTCCAGAGCAAAATGTTGAGGGTATTGGAAAAACAAGCAGTTTGCTACAGCAGATTTTCTTTTTATAATTATACACAGTCAAGGTAATTGATACCCTTTCATAAAGCGCTTCATAGTATGGAAAGTGCTGAGGCGAAAACACAAATGAGAAAAAAAAAATAATAATGAAATAGTAATGGTAAAAAAAAGAGAAATTGCAAGTCAGTTTCTTCTTCCAGTAAAGTGCTGATGACAGAATTAGGTTGGTATGTGTTTTAGTGCTACGCGGCCAAGATGAAGGTGTCCATGCGTCTGCGTGGCCATCAAGGCTTTCAGACGGGCCCGTGTCGGGCTTCGTACTTTGCCAAAATGTTCTTGCATTTTCCCATCTCTTTCCTGAGGTCGGCCACCTCCAGCCGTAAGGCGGAATTCTCCTTCTCAAGGAACGAGGCTCGGATGGCGATCTGGTTCTCTTTTAGCCTCCGTGCATCTCTTGACCTCTTGGCGGCCATGTTGTTCTTTCTGCGCCTTGCCCAGTATTTTTCATCCTGCTCATTGGTTCAAAGACACAAAGAGACAGATGTTAGACTTTGAGAAAAGATGCATTACTAGTACATTCAAATCTGGACTACACGAATAAATACTTCCATTCAGATATATTCCTCAATAGTTACAATGAATATAAATTCAATTTTGTGCATGGAATGCCTTTGTCAACCTGGATTTTACCTTGTAAAATAATTAATGGCATCATCACTGTGCTGTACATAGCGTGTGCAAAAAGCAGAGCCTTGGTCGGGACCAAGCAGGTCTACCTACTACAGGCTGCCTGCAGCAAACTACAAGGGGGCAGATACAAGACCAGTCACTCTGCACAACGAGAGAGAGCAGCAGAGACCGGTCTTTTTTACAGGAAGCTCCTGCACAGTGCAGCCCTTTCATTCTGCACAGATCCGGAAGACATACACAAAGGACACCAAGATTCAACTAAGAATGCAACATTTGCTTATCCAGATTTCAGTTTTAAAGGTGAACTTATTTTGTGATTCACAAAGAATGAAGTAATTTTTTTCCTCTTAATTAAATGTGTTTTTTCTTATTACTGTACCTATACGCTGTGATTCTTTTTTTTTTTTTGCCCCTGCAAGGTGTCTATGGTGAGTGTCTGTAACTATACTTGGAAGATTGTTCCCACTTGTCCCTGTGACACCCATGCAATCCCTATTTTCATAAAGAAAGTCAGTGCACCCCCTACTGGTCAGAGAAGAAAAAGACAGATCTGAATGCGACTAAGTACATGATGCATTAGTTGCTGTTAACTTGGTTAAGGCCAACTTTGCTGTTTTTTCTCAAAGTATAATAGTGACCTATCTGTTCTCAGTTTACAGCGATCAAGAACTGCTGATCGCTCAACTCACGTTTTGTTTTCTCCGTGCAGAGAGTAGTGACTGACAGTCACCGCTCCCCGCAGGGATTTCCCGCTGCCCTCTCTGTTCCTCCAGTGCTCCTTGGAGAGACAGACAAGGGAGGGGGTGGGCACAGCTGGCTCTGGCTCTACATAGGCAGAGGCAGCTGTCAATCAGGCAGCAGGGTAGATCCTAGCAATATTGTTTCCAGCTGCAGAGCGGCTCTCCCTTGTCAGGAAAACATTAGCAAATGTACTCCTCTGACCCAGACAGGTGCTAAAGCCTAAAAAAGGTTTGGCTTTAGCTCTCTTTTTAAACCATCACGACTCCAGTTACCCTCTAAATTAGTCAGAGGACCGAAATGACAATCCTTTGACTCTATAAACAACATGTAATAATGTTAGAACTTGCTGATTATTATGGTATATTTCGTAGACAGCGCTGCAGGCATTTCATGCAAGATTGATTTGTGCAGCTTGTTGTATAAAAGTCATGTATTTCATTTTTTTTGTAGGTACTTTTACATATGTAGAGAAAGGTATTAGTAGTTCTTCTGCATAATGTAACTTTTTTATTCACGGTTTAGTGGTCCTTTAGCAGCAAATCAACTAGCATGTCAACTCCCACGCTCTGAAAATCCCTCCTAGTGGACATTCTGTTATGAAACCGGAGATCACCGCCTACGACTACTTGAAGAACACATCTGCAGTCCTTTGTCTTCCATCTAGTTCACCTGCCTGAAAATCAGACTTGACCCAATTAATTCTGCAGGCACCTGAGTCCCCTCCATGCTTATTTTAACAAATTGCAAAAAAAGCAAATCTTTTAATCCTGCCGTATTCTGGCCAAGGTTGGATAGCAGGGGGTCACGTGCCCTCCAAAGGCGACTGATAGGCCTAATCCCCTTACCCCCTCCACAGAATCAAACAGCCAATCAGCTGGCTGTAACAGAAGAGTGAGCCTCGGGGATTATGTTTGCTGGTAAGTGACCGATGCAGCTGATGGGATTAAGAAGAAATGGAGATGCCTTGCTTTGTTGGCTTGGGGAAATTCACTGCCTCGAACGAGTCGTGTTACAAAACAATAATGAAATTGCTTTTTATTTTTGTTCTCTTCGCAATAAGCTCACATGAATCCATGCTACACTAATGGCACATGCAGACAGACAAGTAATCGTAGGGTGTCACATGACAAGCAGGTGATTCGTCCGCAAACAGGCACATGCAATGCACTTTAAAGGAGAACTATGAGGTGAGTGCTTTTCACTCACCTCATAGTTCTAGCCGACCTGTGACAATGAGACTGTCACAGGTCGGCTCAGTAGATCGGGAGGTGAACGAACACATACCGGGTTCGCTCACCTCTTGATCCTGTCACGGCTCTCTGCCGTGACAGGGGGAGGGGATGGATTCCCCTCTCCCCGCTCCGATCTCCCAGCGCTGACTGGCGGAACGGACGAGGGGGCGGGTACAGCTGGCTCTGCCTCTAGATAGGCAGAGCCAGCTGTCACTCACGCAGCTGGGCGGATCCCGTCATCTAAGTCGGGATCCGCTCCGGCTGCGGCTGGGGAAAAACACTGACCCCATAGTTCTTCTTTAAAGATAATTTCATGAAATGGTCAGCCATCATATTCCAGTTACAGGTGGGTTCTGCTGGGCTGAACCTTGGTCTCTAATATTCAGAGACAAGCATTCTGGAATTGTCATTTCTACTTTGCAAAGCTGTAAGCAGAAGAAAACCCACTCCAGTTATTATTCTTCCCCCTGAGATATGAGGCCACATCGTCTGCCTGACACACTCTCCTCCTCACCTTTTACATTCTATAGCAATAAACTCAAATGTTCAGCTGAGGTTTGATGAATTTGGTGTGGAGGAACGTGAATGGCCTGCATGGAGCCCTCACCTTAACCCTACAACCTCAAACCTGCAAGCCAGATGGCCACAAACATTTGGCTATATAGTGTAAATTATCTCCGTTACCCCCAGATATATTAGAATATTGATACTACTCTAACAGAAAGATAAGTACAGCCTGGACTTACTATAACCAAAGTTTACCCCAGAAGAGGTCACTGCAATCCTAAACTGAAATTTATACCCTCTATTATATCCTTCACACCGTTTCCAAATTACCTTCAGATCTTCAGAAATGAAGACTTTACGAGCCTTCTTGATCATTGGCTGTGGCTTGAGCTCCTCCTCTGAAAATTTGCGCTTACGTGGGTCAAACATCTCCTGCCCTGGAATGGTGGAAATGGCGAGATCTGCTGGGTCTGGTTCATAGCCCACGGCTACCTGGATGGATTCTGGGTCAATTGGGCTTGGCGTGTTCCGGTGTGCGGGCAGAATTTGACCTGAAAGAAAGAGCGCAACAATTTCACTGTGTGTAAGTGATAGAAAATACAATTCATTAACTGTTGACTTCAACTGTGTTTAAAGTCAAACCTTTTTTTTTAAGGGTTGAATAGAAGGTGATGTGTTGAAACCCCATTCATTAGTTGTCTGTGTTAAGGAATTTTTCTATTTCCTACTCTATCCCAAACTAAACTGGCTTTAGATTTATTTTTTATTCATTTATTTAGGACAGGTATTTATATAGCGCCGTCAATTTATGCAGTGCTTTACATAGTGCACTCTCACATCAGTCCCTGCCCTCAAGGAGCTTACAATCCAAGGTCCCTATCTCACATACATACAGGGCCAATTTAGACAGGGGTCAATTACCCTCAGGCATGTCTTTGGAGTGTGTGAGGAAACCGGAGTACACGGAGGAAACCCACGCAATCACAGGAAAAAAATGCAAACTCCTTGCATACAGTGTCCTCACTAGCATGTACTTTAAACTGCTGACATGCTGGGTCATTCATACAGTTCCCTAACTACAGTATGTAGAATATTCAAGGTTGTCCGATATATTTAATTCATTTATAACTAGTACACAGGAGGATCAAATAACTGTACAAGCAAAAAAAATATTAACCAGCTTTGTTAGCCAGCACATAGCTAATAAAAGCCTGTATCTATTCTGATAAATACAGAGGTCTATATGTTTGTAAAGGGTTCCCTTCAAAAGGTTTTTACCTATCTAAACCTAAGAACAAAAATATAATACAGCGTATATTGCAGCTCACCTGTCCTTAGATGTGGTGGCTGCATTTGTTTTAATTTTTTTAGGCTAAGTACATTCTCTGCGAATGCAAAAAAATACCTGTTGATCCTGTCTCAAATATTCAGTGTCCCAGTAACTGCCCGATCACCAATTTCTCATTTGGTGATTGGGACAGTAATTGTCCCGATCACCAATGTCTCACAATCAGGGAGCGAATCTTCCTCAGATATTTTTCAGGCTTTCAGGCCTTTGCAGGCTTTCCGATCAGGTCCGCCTGTCAGGAATGAAAGTGATAGGAAATCCAAAATACTGAGTTGCCACCAGAAGAGGCAGATGAGGAGAAATCTTCCAATTGAAACAACTGTTCCCATTACAACTGTCTAAGAGAAGAATTCCCTCCCATTGGAAAGATATCCTTTCGCTTCCTCTTGAGTCCTTGAGTCTACAGGAAATGAAGTAAAGGGAAACCTCCCTAATGAGATGCCAAAAACAGTGGCACTGGTTTTAACCCTGCCCTGATATGTCCAAAATAAATTTTAAAAAGTTATGTCTTTCAATATACTTTAATGCTGGTGATCCTCAGTGGATAACCCAACCTGTGAGCCCGATCACTGGCACAAATTTGCCAGTGTGAATTCAAGTATCATCACCATTATAACAATAAAAGGCAGCATCATTTTGCCATATTGAAAGTATTATCTTTATGACATTCAGTGCGCCTCCTGCCGAGCGGCTATACTGCCGTCTCTCAGCAGAGGGCATAAGTCAATTATTTTCCCACCCAGACGCATTAAACAGCTGAAAATCCTGATTAAAATCCCTTTATTGTGGAGGCAGCAATCAACCCAAAAGGGTAGAGAAAGCAGCCTGATTAGTCGTCCAAGTGCTTGATTGGCATGACTCTGAAATTTGCCAGTAACAAAAATAGCTTTGATGCAATCGCATGATCTCTTCAGAGAAAAGCGGAAGACGTCTTATTTAATTCCAACTTAACGTTTTTCTGCGTCACTGTGCTTTAAGTTGAAAAATTCCAGCCACCGACCAACAACTGATACTTAGGATACCACCCAAAAACATAACAGGGTGCCTGCCTGTTGTGTGTATCTCAACAGGCCCACATTGCACGTCCAGCAATTCAAATATTTTCCAGAAGTGCCGGTTTGTCTGTGATTTGTAGACTGCTGTAGGTTTCAGTGGGCCAAGACTATCCCTACTGTGTGAACGCACACTACCATGTTTCTTTTTTCTCCACCTTAGGCAAGAGCGTGGCATAGACGAAATCTGTCCAGTGCCACCAACTCTTCTTGCCTCAAGCATGGCACAGCCCTTTCTTACTCTCAGTTGGCTCTAGACAAGTGAAAATTACAGCTAGAGTTTAATCTGCTTATATGTATTTATGGAGGAACAGGGTTGTCACCCTAGGACAGGAAGTGTGTTAGCACTGCAGAACACCTCTCTGTCCTCATCTCCATGACATGGGTAAGGAATCCTGTAGTACTAACACAGACTAATGGAAAGGACTCCGAAGGTCTGCTAACGCTGCTTAAAATTCAGGGCAGCAGGGGCAGAGTGTACATGAAGTTAGGGGATTTTTAGCAGGATCAACAGGTATTTTTGCATTTATTGAACAGATATAACAGACCGTAAAGGAGCAAATAAGAGACGTTGTTGTTAGGCTATGCATACACTTTAACAATTTTAACAGAGGCCAGTGCCTTTGATCCCCCCATTGGCTTCTTGTAATTTTTGCAGACTCAAGAAGTCGTAGATGAAGATTCTGGCTCTGTCCAATCCCACCCATAGCCATGGAGTTTGGCTCCTCTTGTGTCAGCAAGAAGACTTTCAGCAAGAAGTCCTCTTTCAGTAATCCTTGCAATGCAACATTAAACAAAATACCAACAGGGCACGTAAAACATCCCTTATATTATCCCCAGCAGGTGAGGGGACCTGGGAACTCTGGTAGACATATGTGAAGGTGGCAACCAATGAAACCTCCAAAGTCTATCCATAAATTGAAATATCTATTTTGGCTGGGTAGACAAAAATATTCAAAACCAAACTGTGTTATCTCATGTAAAAAACACCTCATCCTAAACCCTAAAACAGACTTCATCTGGTCAACAACTGACAACTTGAAAACCGGAAGAATAATTTAGCGTCCTATCAGTCTCCAGTTCTTGATCAGCAAAAGCCCTCTACAAAGGTTCACCTATGGCACAAACACGATTTTTCCATTCTAATTTACTGGTACAGTCACTCGGGGTCGATCTGTTAAAACCAGTCCACGATCCTAATTTTACATCATAATCCTTTTTAAAATTAAGCCTTCGCTTGCGCTCGGCGGTGGACAGCAGCAAGCAGACAGGTGGCACAGACAAGGCAGATTAGACCAAGCTTATCAAGAGTCTGCTCCCGTAAGCCTCGTCCATCAAGACACTTCCATGCAAACCTTAGCTGCGCTGTGATTGATCAGTGGGGCGCATTGCTCTGTGGAATCTCACTCTCCCTGATTAAAATAGAAAGAAAAGCGCAGGGAAAATTGGAGGAACTAAGCACAAGAACGAATGCATCACCTAAGCCACTTAATACCATACCTCCTAAGTTTCTGAGAGAAGAAAAAGACACTCCTCTAAACACCTTATTAAAGAAATAATAAGCAAATTATAAGCAAAAATTATTGGTTGAACCCACCAAAGTCACCAAAGAGGGACTCGGGGATTTGGTTGGAAAAGAGGAAGTGCTCTTGCATATTAGGGACAGCTGGGGACTATGTAAAGAAACTGTACTATTGGTATTATAAATGGAACTTGCTGGACTGTCAGTTCTTGGCTCCCCACAATAATTTAACACTCGTTCTGTCCACGTGGGAGTTTTGGGTGTTCCTGTCCACCTTTGTGCATTCCGGCTCCTTCTGTTACATTCTCCATAATATAAATTACACAAAATATATGAGTGGAAACCTTTCATCTTTTGCACTAGGTACTATGCTTTGTCATCTGCCATCTGCCATCATGATGTAGTCCATCATGACCATCAATGTTAATTTATTGCTAGTGCGTCAGGGATAACATTGTAGCCAATGGAGGGTTGCTGTGACTGAACTCTCACAAATAATGAAGCCACGCTGTTCTATCTGAGTTGATTATTCAGAAGCACCAGAAAATCCGTAAACCCTTAACTGGCCATATACTTGGAAAATCGATAGAGCAATCAAACATTTGGTTCCTTTTTTTTTTTTTCGAAATCACAAAGCAGTTTTAGTTATCGACAAGGAGATGGGATCAAAGTTGCCCCAATTATATGTGGCGGGATAATCTAATCACTTTCAACAGTTTTTTTCTAATTTTCTCATTTGTAACTGTATTGAAGCCATCAATTATTGCCCAGTGGCAACTTCATAATCTGCCGCACTCCACTGGTCAAGCAAACTCATAAGTGGTAGACTCTTTAGTTTCTGGTGATTACCAATGGCTGAAAAGTGGTTAAAATTTACTGAAAATTGTCGTGTGTAAGTCCAGCTCAAGGGGTAGGGACTTTGTTAGTAACTGATAGCATGAAAGCATGCGACCTGCAATACATAGCACGTATATGTTTTCAATCTCAAGAGGTTCAAGAAGATTAGATACATCTAGAGAAGATGGGGAAAGTGGAAAGGACAGTAAGATGTTAGTAATGCGCAGGAGGGGGGGATTAGTTTTAATGTGGCTTTACTTTCCCTCTCTGACATATATCCGAATATGACTTCCATCTCTTGCGGGAGATAAAAACATTGTTTACATCTGTGCCTCGACTCACTCGGATCCTATGTATACGTCAATGCCATTCTATCTGTTCCGGCCCCATGGGCACGTGCCCCATTCTGCAGTATATGCTTTTACTGATAACAGTTGCAGCTCTCCTGATCCAGAACTGTCAACAAAGTGTGCGCGGAATAATCAGATCCTCCCAGGATAACCCAATCCGCTCTGGCTTATGTGGCTGTGGCGATGTATGCGAGTGCATCATATTTGTGGGAAGCCAGAAATAGCCTTTATCGCCTTTATCACAAGGTTGAATTACTTTACGCACTTCAATAAAAAAAAAAAAAATATTTTACTTTAAACCCATCTCAGCTGCCACCTGAGCGCTCATCATACTCAGGTGCTTAAAGGCACGTGGAGGGTGGCTGCAATATTTTCGTTTCATATCTGGCCGAAAAAAGTAATGTACCTGTACCAGGAATCCCAACCTGAAAAAAGTAATTTC